TATGAGATAATTGTAGAACTTGATGAGAAGTTATTGAAAAGAATATTCTTCATTCATATAATTGTGTTTTAATAAGTATTATGTTGATTAAAAGAAGTGGTCTTAAAAAAATACATTTAAAAATTTACGGCTGCGGACAGTATATATGCTCATCATGTAATTCGAATATCGCGAAATTATTAATCAGTAGTCTTATGAAGATTTCATGTAAACATAACCTTATGATACTTAGTATTACACAGTGTGAATGCCTAATTTTTAATGCCACTTAAAGAAAATAACACGACTACAATAGTTGCCCACAATTTCGCACAACAGTTTGGAAGCTGTGACCTTATTTAGTCAAGTACCTTGACTTATGAAATATTTATTATTAATTGAATTATTCATTCAACTATTATTAATTTCTTGTAGGTTAAATATAAAGCAAACCAAATTAACTATGACCATCAGTACTATCATGTTCTCAAGGAATTAAACACTTAACAGATTCATCACTAGCTGTCGTAAATTTTAAGTTTAAATCATAAAGCTTAAAGTTGCGATTATCAAATTAGATTTATCATCTTAAATCACGAACTGATCTCAACTTGACCACTAATGAGATCTTGAAAGCACTGGACAGCCGTCTCAATTTCATTTGGGACTGCTCACGAATAGGTATCCATGGCCATGGATCCTAGAACAGAACCTAGGATCATCAATCTAGAGCATGAACGCCTAACCTCTGAACCACGAAGCCGGGGTCCATTACATTTAACTCAAGGCTTTATTTACAAGCTAATGAATAAAAACAAATAACGAAATTGTAATTGTTTAGGATGTTTCATTAAAAAAATTCAAAGGTATATTAAATATGGCTTCAATTCAATAAACTTATTCCTCTAAGGTTTTTTTCATTCAAACCATTAATTAATCCTTAAATTGCAGTAGTTTGGATAATCTTATTGTTGATATTTTGATTGAAATTTCATTAGTCTTGGCTGGAACATGAGCATACTGTGAAGATCGCCTCAATATACCCATTATGACACAATTTGATATAGAAATGCATGTCTCGGCTCCCACTGCTAACCACATTCTATTTATTCTGAATAAACTTGTTTCATAATGGGTATATTGAGGAAGTCCTCATGGTATTCTCATGTGTCAACAAAGTCTGATCAAATTTCAGTCAGATTATCAACAGCGAGATAATCCAAACAATTTCAATTGAGTGGCTCTCTGGATTCATCAGCTTAGTGGATAACCTGATGGTGTTTGAAGCAAAAGATACTGTTTGAATTACGAGGTGGACACTAACTCTGGGATGCGTCTGTATCCAGTAATAATAATAATAATAATAATAATAATAATAATAATAATAATAATAATAATAATAATAATAATAATAATAATGTGAATCATTCGACTGTTAATCGAAGCAAGAATAGTACTTTCCGTAAACATCGTCATTTCATTCTATTTGTGTGGGCTGTGATATCGTCCGGCTGCCCAGACCGGAGCGGGAGTTTCTAGAAGCTATCTGGTAAAAGTTTATATTGGATGATTGTGGAGATGTTTGAGTTTTCGTAAAGAACTTCATTTACATAGCTTAATTAAACCAACACTGAAAACAAGGAAGCACTGGAAAGCTATTTCATCTTAATATCGGTGGCACAATATCTCAAATCAATTGAAGCTGGACATCTAAACTGTTAGATGGCAATCCATTCGCCTGAAGACTAGGAACTCGTCACGAAACCTAAAGGTTTTAAGTTCATTTACCGGTGAATTCACGACAGTGCACTGTTGAAGATTTCTATTAGATGATGAAGCAGCTGTCTCGTGTTTCCTGGTTCCAAGTGGTAGCCAATGAATGGTGTAATTTATGACAACATCGTTAATATAGCACATGACTTACATATTTGGATCAGTAATATGGAACTATAACTGGAAAGCGATCCCTACTAACAAAAATTGAAATGGTAGATAGGTCTATTTTATTTACTTGACTTCATGAAGATCATTTTGAACTCAAATATTGATATAGGTAAGCATTTTATGTATGAATAGTCAGACTGATTAACACCAAACAATGAATTATAGTGTACAAACAGAATAAAGGCTACACAGAAATATGAAATCTGGTGTTCTAGCTTACACTGACTCATGAATTTAACTATTAAAACTATTACAATCTTCCCAAATCCCCATTTTGATCATAATCATCATATGCTCACTAGTGATTGGCTTTAAGATGATTTCCTGGAGTTCTAGTAAGAATTCGTGGCCACTGGAGTCCAATCGGTGTCTGGAAAGGACAAGTATCTACCTTATACAATGGATGAATGGTTGCGCAATATCGTGAATTGATCAAGATTAGACATTAACACTGTTGGATACCGGCTCAATGGTCTATAGTTTAAGCGTTTGCACGCGAGACCGAAGGTACTGAGTTCGAATCCCGCATGAGTGATCGTGAGTGCGCACTGCTGAGGAGTGCCGTTCTAGGACAAAACGGCGGTCTAGCTTTCATCAACTCATGAATTCAACATTAAAGAGACTAATTATCTGTTATGAATTGTTTTGTCTTCCTGTATTTCTATTTTAACCAACAAAGTTTTCAAAGGTCAGATAACATATTTTATATTTTTTGACAAATCGACTTTTAACTTACCGTAATTCACTCTTAAACCTGATATTTAAAAGCTGATATTCGTTTTTGCATCATATTTTGAACACTTATTATCAGCTCTGACTTCGTTCCAAAAAAACTGTTGATTTATAAACAGAGACGCAAGCAATACAAAAATGGACTGTTGATTTATGTTTTAAATTAAGGTTACTGTACAAACCTCGCTCATTTGAATGTAACTTAAAAAACTTATACTTCATTAGTTTTTCCATCGAATTAATCAAACAGAATAAACGACATCATATATTTGATAATATTGGGTATAACAGTATGTTGCTCATGGTGATTTAAAGGTAAACGGTGTTTTAAATTTTTCTCTAAATGAAACTGATTAGTGAGATGGGAGAAATATTTAAAATAATCAAATGGAATGAATAACCGGTAGGTCCCGAAATTCAAAGAAATGATTAGAAACTGAATGCCGAGCTCTCAACGAAAGAACTATAGGTACTTGCCTTGATCCCTAGTAAGATTTCGGATAAATAAATACTACTGAAAATTGCAGTACTGAGAACTATATTTCGAGTCTCATCAACCCAAACAAATAGGATTTGGATGGTGTAATAAGAAAACTAATATAATCAAGACTATGTGCTATATTAGAGCAATGTACCTCAAACAAATATATACTTGTTATGAACATTTATATATAAAAATAAAAGGCCAAATAGATTAGAAATGGAGGGTAAGAAGAGGCAAAGATATTAAAGAAAATAATATGAAAAACAACTTGAAGCTTTGTCACGTCGGTCAATAAGCTAATATTACCAGGGTAAGTTTAAGGTGGGAACAAATTGTCTCTAAAAACATAAATTGAGTTTGAATTTTCATGTTGTTAAGGCCTCGATAGACCTTAGTTTACGGCCTTTAACACTTTTGTACAATTTACTAGTTGAATTCGTGAGTCAATTAAAGCTACATCACCATAGAAAATCTGGAAGCACTGGGGGACTGTTTCGTCCTAGTATAGGACTACTCAGCAGCGCGCACTCACGATCCCGCATGCGAGATTTGAACCCAGTACCTTCGGTCTCGCGCGCAAACGCTTAAACTATAGACCACTGAGTCAGTATCCAACAGTGCTAATGTCTAACTTCAACCAATCCACGACAATACCACAAAAGCCTTGTTCATATCAATCTTATGACGTGTTTCATCCATTTGTTTGGTAACAGAAGATGTTAAACAATTATCACCTACTCTTATTGAGTCGTTTGATTTTATTTGTTTCTGCAACCACTTAGTTGCATGTTCAAATACCCTAATTTGGAGATTACAGTTGCTTTTTTTCTGTGTATTTGTGAACACTTACACATATCTTTAAATTAGTAAACACAGTAGGCTGTGACGCAGCCATTTTCATGCTTTTTAGGTTTTCGGTGAAGCATGGACTTTGCTCTTTCCTTGATAAAGACCTTTCGTTATTAACTGTTTTAAGCTTTTTTATCAGTCTGTCTGACACACTTCTGAACTGTAAGGTGATGTCGACTTGCTTTTGTTGTGCCACTTTGTCTAGTTGAATATTTATTTAAATATATTTATATACATATGAATTCATTTTGTGTTGTTTGTTTGAATCTTCGCATTGATGTTTAGGACTGCAATTGATCAGTCTCTTATTGCCACATATGTATTCTGTGCGAATTACCTCGATATTGCCTTAATAAGCAAACATGGATAGTGGCTAGAATTAGAATGCAGGACGTGCGTTTCGTCCTATTTTGGACTCGTCAACTGGATGTTCGTACGTCACACAGTTAATGCTCTTTCTGAGACTCAAACTCAGTGCCAAGATGGAACCAAAAATGGGGAAATCAAAACTAGTAAAAATCCTATTAGAATATATCTTTGTTTAACAGTCAATGCTAAAGTGTGAACTGTCTATGTATATCATTTTTTGAATATTTCTGTTCAAGTGTAAGTGCTTTATACACTAAATATACGGTATTCTTAACATATATTTGTGTCGGTATTAATTCATTTTATTGTCTTGTGCTTCCATTAATACCACTATAAATATCAAAATAAATTGCTACATTTATAAGTGCTAAAAGTGATGCATAGTGCACATCGGCTTTAGACAAAAATATGCGGTGTATAAGAGTTCAAACACAGATATATTAATGAACAAATTTCGAACTCAAATGAATATGACCATCTAAACAATCGCAATTTATAAATGCCTACAACTTTCCGATATTTGTTTATACTATTTGAAGTAGTTTGAAACGAAAAGGCGAAACGTTAAGCTATCAATAAACGAATCAGTTTTAGAAAATCAAATTTCAAAGAAAACGAATCGAAAATATGCATCGTTATATTTCCCAAGCTGAAATTGTATATATCATATCATAAGTATAAGGAGTATTATCCAATTGGATAAAACTATAATCATGTTTTGCAATATCATCGGAAAGTAGATACAAACAAACAAATCGAAGCAATGACAGAATAAATCATAACATATCAAGGTTTTAAAGTAACGGTAGAACTGAAAGGAAACAAGTTAGAAATTGTACAATAAAAATGAATTTACATGGGGTTCAACAGAAGGGATTGTCTCACAGAGACAAAAATCATCGACATTTGAAAACTAACCAGATATAAAATAACACATAATACGTCTAATCAAGTGGCGGCGTTTTTACTGTTGTTTCCGAATGTCTTAAAATATCCAATTCATCTTCCTTATCTTTCATTTGTAAATCTCTCACCATTCGCAGTATATCCTTTACAGAAAAGTGTATTCCTTTATCTAAACATACAGTAATACGTATCAATCCGTTTGTATCGATTACAAAAATGCTCCTACATCAAGCAAAAATAAGTAAGCGTCAATGAATAACAACTAAATGGTAATTTATGAGACATTGTTTTGAAACTTTTTTTTCCTAACCATATAAAATTGACCAACATTTGAGAAATTAATAAAATAACATTTACAGATGTATGTGTTGTTGTACAAAATATATTCGATAAATGTTATAAAATTCAGCAACAAACTGTAATCGATTTACCTTACAACGACTGAAAATATATTTATATCAAATTGCTTAATTGTTCTTTTTTTGAAAACAAATTGACCATTGACGACTATTTTTTAAAAGAAACTTTCTCAGATTTAATATGACACTGCTGGAGTAGATACATATGTGTGCTTATGAAAGAAAACGACAGTTAGTTAGTAAGTAGAAACACTGAAAATTCTTTATCTTCACCCTTGCAAAAACGGTAATTTAATTTCAAATTTAGATAAACAAGGAACATTACAGTATGTTGGAAGCTGGAAGTTATAGATTTTATATATTGTGAAACTAACATTGATTTACTTCAGCTTAATAGCTAAATAATAATAGTCGCAGTAAATCATCAGGTAACTGAAGTTAGAGTTTGAGTTCAAGTTTCTTTTTTGTTAATTGTCAGCTATTTAGCCAATAAATTACACAGTATGAACCACTTTCCACTAAATATACCATTTCTGTGGTGTAAATTCATCCATATACGTCAAACCTCAACCATGTTTTTCTAATGATAATTCGTTCGACTTTATTTACAAAAATAATAAAAATAATTTGATACCCCTGTAAAACTATTTAACAAATGTTGAAAATTAAGGCGTGGTTTCTCTAAATTTGGTAAACATGTTAAAGAAATTTTGTTTCATAATGAAAAAATATATAATTTTGCCATTATAGTAATTACATGTAAAATTGACATCTAAATACATTTTGAAGAGAACAATGTAAGTGATGCATTGATATTGATTTAATTGTTTTCATAATTACTAAAAATTATCACTTTGCTTTGTAATATATATATATATACATAGTATTTAGATAGAATAAAACGAAATGTTACTCATTTATTGACAAACTATTTATCATGAACAGTATTAGTATTCAGTCATATACCTGCCCATAATTAATTTAAAATTTTCGTAAAATACACCCATCGTTAACCATGGCAACCCTAGATCGATAACACACATCTTTTATCCTCCTTCCCTAAAAATTTAACTACTATAGTTATAAGAAGACGAAGATTATCAGAACTATGTGATATATTAGTGAAATACATTTCGAATAATCTAATCACACATATACTTGTTAAGAGCATAGTTATATACAAATGAATTTATGACGACATTAATAATAATAATAATAATAGTGATAAGCATAGATTGATAGTGATTAGCAGTGGAAGGAAGGACGCATGTTTCGCCCAATTCAAGACTCATCAGCCGGATGTACCTGCATCTCAGAGTTGATGTTCACTCTTGGGCTCGAACCCAGAACCGCTGGCTTCAAACGCCACCAAGTTATTTAAACTTCACTCCGTTGCACAAGCAAGTGGTTATCAGGACTTAGTAGCTAAGCAGATTACGCGATGTTGTTTGAACCGAACGGTACGGGGTTCGAGTCAAGGAGTGAACATCAACTCTGAGATGCAGGTACATCCAGATGAAGAGTCCCGAATTCGATGGGACGCGCGTCCTTTATTCGACTGCTAGCCGCTATCCACCTTTGCTTTTAATGCTTGTGAATTAAGGCAATACGCACAGTTTACATATACGCCAATAAGACATTGATCAATCGCAGTCCTAAACATCAAAGGGAAGGTTCTAGTAAACAATGCCAAATGAATAATGGTGATGATATTAATAATAATAATAGTTCAAACAATGAACACAAGTTGCTACGTCGAACAAAAAAGTTTTTGTCAATTAATTTCAAATAATTTATACAGAATAGATTTATTTATTGCTGAATGCTGTTTGATACAATCCCTAAAAGTAATGTTAAGTGATTTAAAACAATTAGTCCCTTTGATAAATTTCGATAATGCAATGAGAAGACGAAGATTATCAGAACTATGTGATATATTTGCGCAATACATTTCGAACAATCTGATCACACATATACTTGTTAAGAGCATTTATATATAAAAATAAAAGGTCAACTAGACAGGAAATGGGGTAAGAGGAGATAAGGATAATGATAAGAGTAATAATAATAATAATAATAATGTGAACACAAAGCGAAACCTAATCACTCTGGATAATAAGTCAATATTACCAGGGTAGGTTTAAGGTAAGAACAAACTGTTTTTGAACACATAAAGGGGGTTTGAATTTTCGTATGGCTAAGGCTTCAATGAACCTTAGTATACGCCCTTTTACACTTTTATACAGCACTACAAAAGCTGAATTTAGATCAATCTTGTGACCTGTTTCAATTATATGTTTAGCAATAGAGGATGATGGATGTTTATCCTCTGCTCTTATTGGGTCACTTGATTGTATTTGTTTCTGAAGCCATTTGGGTACATGTTCACTCACCCTAATGTTGAGATCACGATTACTCCTCCCTATGTATGTGTGACCACACACACATTTAAATTGGTAAACACAGTGGGATGTGACGTAATCGTTTCCATGTACTTTAGGTTTTGAATGAAGCATGCACCTTGTTCTTTCTTTGATGATGACCTTTGCTGCGCAATAGGTTTTATTGATGACTGATTTAAGACGTTGTTTCAGTAAAAGGCTATTTGAATCACCTCTGAATGGTAAGGTGATGTAGACAGGCTTTTTCCCTACCGAGGCTACAGTAGGTCTCGCTGTACCATGGACTTTCCATCTATTTATGAATTTCAGAGGATAGCCATTTTCTATTAACGTTTTATTTAACAACTTAACATCATCATCAATGGCGTCATTGGTACAAATACGGTCGAGTCTGTTGAAAAGACACCTTATCAAACCACGTTTGTATTGCATAGGGCAATAACTATAATAACTAAGATATTGACCTGTCCACGTTGGTTTTCTAAAGATAGATCGCTTTACTGAACCATCTTCTCGTCTACTCAGGAGTATATCTAGGAAGGGAAGCTGATCGTTTTTCTCCTCTTCACATGAGAGACTAATATGGTTTTGGAGAGTGTTGAGTTTATTTAATAAACCGTACATATCCTCTTTTTTCTCACAAACAACTAAGATATCGTCCACATATCTCTTATAAAGTGACATGTTTCCGATTAATTCATCAGTCTGATTTTCAACATGTGCCATGAACACATCTGCTAGTAATGGTCCTAGCGGACTACCCATAGCAACTCCATCAATCTGACGAAAGTATTCACCTTCAAAAGTGAACTGAACTTTGTCAGTACATAGTAATAGTAAATCTTTAAGAAGTTTTAAAGGTACACGTGATTGAAGATTGTTTTCAGATATGTAATCACATAATATATCAATGGTTTTTTTTAAAGGTACATTTGTAAACAAGGAATTTACATCAAATGAACACATTGTCTTTTCCTTGATATTAATATCATCTAAATGATCAACCAGTTCAAAAGAATCCTTTAGAGAAAACTTACATAGATGTCTTCGAATAGGATCCAACAACTTTGCTAACCATTTAGCCAGATTATGTGTAGGTGATCTGCACATTGATAGAATTGGACGTAATGGAACATTAGGTTTGTGAGTTTTAGGCAGTCCATATAAATGAGGGTACTCGGAACCCATAGGTTTTAGAAAGTTAAATTCCTCTTTATTAATAATATTCATGAGAAGCAATTTTTCCAGGTTTGAATTTACTCTTCTTTCTAGTTTGCTGATACCTCCAAATTCAACATCAGGCATAAATTTACTTTCATCACTAAGGATAGATAACATCTTACTTTTATAATCACATTTATTCATGATAACTACGCCTGATCCTTTATCAGGTTTTAACAAGACAATATCAGGGTTTGATCGTAGTTCTTTTACTGACTTAAAATGCTGAGAAGTTAATATGCTTCTCTGCTTCGGGCCAACACTATGAAATTGGTGTGCTATATCCACTAGTTTAGCTTTACACCAGCTTTGATTATTTGGAGACGTAGGGGTTAAAGTACTCAGTTGATCATATAGATTTTCAAACTGGGCATTTATTTCCAATTCTGACATTTGCGTTATAGGGACGGAGAAATTAAAACCAAGAGAAAGGGCTTCCTTTTCATTAGCAGATAATATAATGGAGGATAAATTAGTGACATACTTTTCAGGATTTACTGGGAATACATTAACTTGATTAGTAATAATACAAGATTTTTCGAGCTTATTGCTGATCCTTTCCTTTGTTATCGAAATGACATTACTGCAAAAGTTTGTGAATTTAATATGGCAGACTATAGATATTTCATTTAATATAGGCAATGCTTGAGTGTGTAATTCAATTAAATTGATCAGTTCGTCTTGGCACTTATCTATATATGATTTCGACAATCGAATAAGATTTGAAATATTTGGTTGTAATTTACTTGAACGTAAATTCTTGTATAGTTGATTTGGGAATATATGACTCGTCAAACAAGATTTATAGAAGTTCAGTTTCACGCGTTCCGATACAATTTTACATTTAAGGTTGACAAGTTCATCTAACCTTTTGATAGTATGTGCAGGGAGTCTTCTTTTAAGAAATTTAAAACAATTAGTCCCTTTGATAAATTTCGATAATGCAATGAGAAGACGAAGATTATCAGAACTATGTGATATATTTGCGCAATACATTTCGAACAATCTGATCACACATATACTTGTTAAGAGCATTTATATATAAAAATAAAAGGTCAACTAGACAGGAAATGGGGTAAGAGGAGATAAGGATAATGATAAGAGTAATAATAATAATAATAATGTGAACACAAAGCGAAACCTAATCACTCTGGATAATAAGTCAATATTACCAGGGTAGGTTTAAGGTAAGAACAAACTGTTTTTGAACACATAAAGGGGGTTTGAATTTTCGTATGGC